CCTTTTGCCCCCTTTTTTTTGGGAAACCTCCAGAAGGAGTCCTCAGCCGTCTCCCTGCCCACCTGTCGTCAGCCAGAGCCAAGAGGATGCCTCGGACAAAAACTCCCTCTCCAGCCACCGGAAATCGCCGGGCGCTTGAGGCCCAAAGAGGCACAGTCGGGAGGGGCTGCCTTCAGGTCTGGGTCTCCACCCTTGTCCCGGGAAGGGATAGAGTCGCCTGAGGAGGGTTAGGGGGCGGCGAGGTCTCCTCCCTCTGCCCCCCGACGCCGGCTCTGGGCCTGCGTGTGCGTGCGGTGTGGCGTGCGTGTGTGTCTTTCATGCAAACCCTCCCTCCCCAAACCGACCCCCCAACAGTTTGCCATTCCATACAAATTTGGAAACAGATTTTTAAAAAACAGCATGACGCACAATGGGGACGGGGCGGGGGAGGGCAGTGGCACTGGGGCCCCAAATCTCGGAGTCTCTGATTGTAAGAACCTGGGGAGGGGAGGGGGCAGCGCGGCCCCCACTTCACCAAAGTGCACAGATCCGCGCTTGGGCGGCGCGGCCCGCGGGCCCGGAGGGGCATCCCGGGGCCGGGCCGCTAGGCTCAGTCAGAACCTCCTTGCATAGATATTTGTGTCTTTTTATTATTGGTAGTAGTATTTTTTGCCTTTTATTGCTTCTAAAAGTTCTTACTGCGGTTTTTTTTTTTTTCTGATCCGGACTCTGCGTTCGGCCTCCGTCGCCTCAGATTTTTTTTTTCTATGTATGTTTGTTTAAAAAAGGAAAAGGGGGGAAATGGACTCTAGTTACAAATTATCTTGGCCTCTCTCTTTCCTCTCAATCCACATTCCCTCCCGCCAAAATTAAAATCACGAAACGCTGAGACTAGGGGTTGGGGATGAGGGCTTCCAGGTCCAGGTTTGGCGCCCAGACTCAACGCCCTTTTCAAGAAAGAGGGGGCGCCCGGCTCCTCGGCAGCTCGGTGACTGTTTCAATAATAATAATAATAGGAGGAAAACAGTATACCACAGCTTAGCTGCCCCCCTTACCAAAGCCTTTGGGCCTGCAGGGGGAAATGGGAAGAGGAACAGTGCAGGAACTGGGAATGGGGGGAGGGGTCTCCAGAGAGTGCCCGAAGAGGGTCCCTGTAGAAGTGTTCCCTGGGAAAGAGGAGGAGAGAACCCCCTGGGGACAGAGAAGGCGAGTCCCCTGGGGGAAGCGAGGCCCCGAGGACGGGCACCCACAGATAAGAGGACCGCGCTGCCCAGGAGAGCGGCAGAACCGACGGCCCGCTCCCCGCACCCCGCGCTGGGGTAGGTGGGGGTGCCCCTGCGCTGGGGGGGTGGGGAGGTTGGGGGCAGGGGTGCGGGCAAAGGCCAAAAAAAAAAAAAAAGGAAGGGGCAGGCGCGAGGTCTCAGTTATGGAAAAACGCATTGAGCTCCTCGTACATGGGGCCCCGGTCGTGGTGAAGGTGCATATCGTAAGATAAGAGATTCTCCGAGTGGACGCCCCCGCGCACAGCCGACGAACCGAAGACCAGCCCGTGGCCCGCGGGCCGCGAGCCGGGCAGCGCCGAGTAGTGCATAGAGTAATGGTAGCTCTTCTCGTGGTCGGGCGACGAGTCCTGCTTGAGAGAGAAGTTGCCGTTGAGGCAGAGCGGGGGGCTGAGCGGGCCCTCATACTCGGAGCTGTTGTAGTCCGGGCTCGCGCCGCCGCCGCCCGCCGCCGCGTACAGCGTCTCATAGGCGGCGCAGTAGCCGTGGGTCCGCAGGGCGTGCGCCGCGCCGCTGCCCAGGCCGCCCGCCGCCTGGCACTGTGCGCCCGCCAGGCGCGAGCACGGGTACGGGTAGGGGTGCATGGCGAACGGACCGCCCGAGCCGTGGAAGCGGCCCGTGCCGTCGGCGCCCTGCTCGGTGAGGAAGTTGCGCGAGTTGAGCTGCAGGCAGCCGGCCACCAGGTTGGTGGTGGGCTGCGACAGGCCCTTGCACAGCGTCTGCACGTAGGACACCAGGTCGGGCCGCTTGCCCGAGCGCAGGATCTCCGAGAGCGCCCAGATGTAGTTCTTGGCGAGGCGCAGCGTCTCGATCTTGGACAGCTTCTGGGTCTTGGAGTAGCAGGGCACCACCTTCCGCAGGTTGTCCAGCGCCGCGTTCAGGTCGTGCATGCGGTTGCGCTCCCGCGCGTTCGCCTTCTGCCGCCGCAGCTTGGAGCGCTCCAGGCGCGCCTTGGTCATCTTGCGCTTCTTGGGCCCGCGCTTCTTGGGCCGCTCGCCCTCGGCCTCGTCCAGCCCTTCCTCTTCCTCCTCTTCCTCCTCCTCCTCACCCCCCAGCTCGCCTTCCTCCTTGACCTCGGCCAGCGCGGCCTCCGGCACCTCGTCGGAACGGAGAGGGACGGGCTTGGCGGCCCGGGCGGGCCCCGGAGCCCCGGGCCCCGGCTGAGGCGGAGGCGGCGGCGGTGCGTCGCCCTTGTCGCTCCTCGGCTCGTCGTCGTCGCCGTCGCCCCAGCTGGCGAACTTGGGCACGTCCGAGAGGAGACCGGGCTCGCTGAACAGGCGGGTCAGCATGGTGCCTGAGGACGCCCGGCGGGCGGGAAGGGGAGACACAGAACACAGAGTTAGGGGCGCGCTGGGTTCATGCCGCGCCCCTTCCACCCGCCTCCACCCCCGAGTCCAGTGCGGATTCCTGCCCGGGGAGCCCTGGATGCCCACCTCCTCCGCCTGCCCCACCCCGAGCCTGCCCAGCCCTGTTCCGGCCGCGCGCCCGGGATCTCGGCCCAGGCCCTTTCCCCAGCGCTGGGCCCCGGCTCCACCCCTCGCCTGAACGAGGGGCCGCTCCCCGCGCCGGGTCATCTCCGGGTGTGGTTGGGACGGAGATGAGGCTTAAGGGAGCAGATCTCTTCGCCGGGGGGAGGCTGCACGATCACCCGGAAAGCCTGTCCTCTCCGGGCGTTGGAGGAAGGCTGGGCGGCCGCCGGTGGGGACAGCTGCCCCGCTCGGCGGCTCCGGCGGCCCGGGCCCCTCCGCCCTGCTCCCTCACCCTCCCGTGGCTCTCACCCCCACGTTCCCTAATCCAATTTGCAACTTGGCCGCGCGCCGCCCTCGGCTCGGCCCCCACCCCCGCAGCCCCAATTCCAGAGGCGGGAGGATCGTTTCCTCTAGCCGGGCGTCCCCAGCTCCCGGAGCCGGCTCGGAGCGGCGAGGGCTGAGAAACCCGGGCGTGGGGAGGAGACGGAGAGAAGCGAGCCCCGTCCGTCTCCCCTGCGGTCGGGGACCCCCTTCCCCCCTTTAAACTGCCTCCCTCCCACACGGCTCTTCAGATCTCGTTGTATTTCGGGATTGATAGGAAAAAAAAATCCAAATTTGTTTGTTTGCTTCTCTCTTTTTCCCGGTGGTAGGGAAAGGTCGAAGGTTCCTCCGGGACAACCATGGGGGTTCCCATCTCAGGCTCTTCACGCCCCCCATGACCCTGCTTCCCCCTCCTCCCCAAGCCCAAGGCGGGCAGAGACGCCTCCCTAAGGGGGGCAAGAGAGAGAGGGGGGAGAAGAGGAATCTTCTCGCTTATTTCATTGTTCCCCCATCTTCAGGGAGCGGGGGCAGCGGCTCCTCAAGGCGGCAGGCGCCGGCGTCTTCAGAGCGCCATGCGAACCGCGGAGCGAGTGTGGCATCTCTACCAGGCGGGGTACCAGCCTCTATGCCAGGCCATATGGGCTTGGCACGTCACGGGCAGCAGCTATCACATGAGAGACGGTGATTGGCATGCGTCTGCATTGGGGGAGAGCCGGCTCCCCCGGGACCCGCCGCCATCTGTCACTCTCTACTCCAAAAAAAAAAAAAAAATTAAATAAATAAAGGAAATAAATAAATATCTCTGCCGCCCTCCCCTCCCCACCCAACGCAGGGAAAGCAGGGATTGAGAGGGAGGAAGGAGGAGTTGCCCCCTTGGATATAGAATCCCCCACATGGGAACAATGGGGTGGCGAGGTTGGAAATTGGGGGGTTTTGATGTTCCCAATTCTGTGCTCCCTCCAGGGCCCTACTCTGTCCATTTCTTTCCTTGCAGGCCCCCAAAGGTGGGTCTGGAACCAGAACCTAGGGTCTGGAGAGGGGACCTCTATGCTTGCCCCCACACCCCACCCCCCCAGGAGGATCCGCTTGACCACAAAGGGACAGCTGAGGCCTCCTCCCGGGGTGGGCATGGGGGGCGTCCCTGGCCTAAGCCCCATAGGTAGATGTTGGCACCGTGCCATCCCTCATCCCTGTCTGCCCCTCCCCCACCCACCCTCACGCACACACAACATATGTGGCTGAACGAAATTCAAACCAAGGGAAAGACAGAGAAAAGGAAAGACTTGCCTGGATGTCTGTGCCTCTGCATGGGCGTGTGTGTGTGTCTGTGGGGACATGTGTGTATATCTGTGGAGTCAGCAGACAGGAAAGATTTCCTTGGGTGTTTGGGGGCACATGTAGGTTGGGAGGTTGGGATCTGGATGGAAAGCAGCCCCTGGGATAAGACTATGCACCCACCGTCTGGAGTTGGGGGAGAGGGTTGGGTCTGGATTCCTAACCCAGAAACCTCTCCCTCCTTTCCCCCCAATTCCCCGCCCCACATACCCTCCCCCTGCGAGGCAAGTAGCCACCCCACCAGTCTCTTTCTTTCCTGGCCTCTGACTTGGTTGTTTGAAGGAGGAGGGGGCTGGGCTGGGAATCGCCTCAAGTTCCTGAAGGAGATGCAAGCATTCCCCTCCCCCTTCAAAAAATCCTGAAAGTAGAGAAGCCAACTCCAGCAGTCCACCAGTGACCCGGGGGAGGTAGGTCAGACAGGTGCCTTGGTGAGGAAAGTAGGAAATTGCTGTTTTATCTTACAACTCACCTTTCAACCCTCTCCCTGGGCCAGACACAGATGCATGGATTGAGGAAGGAAGCTTTACACACACACACACACACACACACACACACATACACACCTGTTCCTCACTCTGTGTGCAAAAAATGGATACACACCCCTACTCAGATAGTCTTGTGTGTAAGCAAGCAATCACAATCAGGTGTAGACAGACCCTGGTCTACACCTTTATTCAGGCATTCGTAGTGTGTTTCAGACCCACATTTCCTATCCCTCCCCATTCTCCAGCTTCCATATGCTAAGACAACGTCAGTTATACTTGACCACATTCACTTTGATGGCAACCGCGTGCCAAGTACTGGGTGGTGCAAAGACAGGGGTCTCGTTCTCAGTCTGCACAGGAACACTTTTCTCCTTCTAGGACTTCAGGAAGGGGTCTTGGACTGGGAAGACACTGATTTGGTGTCTGGTAGAATGAATTAGGTTCTACACAGAGGCATACACGGTACCAAGGAGGCCTTGGGAGAGGGGGGCTGCATCTGTGTGAGGCTCAGAGGCACTGGACCAGGTACACAGGCACCTCGAAGAGTCCTGATGTGAAAGGGAAAGTGTTAGTCACTCAGTTGAGTCCGACTCTTTGGATTCCTGGACTGTAGCCCACCAGGCTCCTCTGTCCACGGGATTTCCCAGGCAAGAATACTGGAGTGGGTTGCAATTCCCTCCTCCAGGGGATCTTCCTGACCCAGGGACTGGACTCAGATCTCCTGCACTGCAGGCGGATTCTTGACTGTCTGAACCACCGGGGAATCCAAGTGTCCTTACACTGAGGCCCGTGGTGGGGGACTGACTTGCCCAGGACTATGCAGTGGAGCACAGAACTGGATCTAGAACCCAGGGACTTGACTCCCAACCCAGTGCTCCTTCTATAGTCCCACAGTCTGCCTCTGGGGGCCCCAAGGATGAGAAGCCAATGTTGTCTTCCTCCATTCATACATCCTGGTCCTGGGAAGGCACATGATCTGGGGGCACTCGACATGGCACAGGGGGCCAAAGGATAGACCTCAGGTGGGGCAGAGATTTGGCAGTGCTGGCCAGGCCCCTGTCCACTTCTGGGCACAGCCTCAAAGGCTTTCCTGACTCTTCACGGAGGCTGGGGGTCTTCAATCCAGACACACAGCTCTTTTTGAGTCCCCCCAGTCATATGGTATTTTGATTCCATGCATATGCTTTAGGCTCCAATTCCTAGTCAGCCCTACTTACCATCCTTAAAGAATGCTGAATGCCTTGAACAAGTTACATAACAGCTGTCAGTCTTGATTTCCCCATCTGTAAAATGGGGACAATTATGCTACACTTCATAGGGCTGTTGTTAGCTCGAAATAGGATAATGGATGTATTGAGTTGAGCATGGGGCTAGCAATAGAGTGCACCTTCAGTAAATGCCAGCTCTCCTTTTCCTTAAAGCACTTTGTAAACTGTAACATGCTTTACACTAATAATTTCTTGCACATACCCCCTGATACATACATATTCAGAATGCTCTGTCTACATGGGAACTGAGTTTTTGTTGAATGAATGGATGAGTGCATGAATTAATGCTTCCTTGGGGTTGAAAGATACCCCCTGCCCTCTCCTTTGGACACTGAGGCCTGGGTTAAGCCTCACAGGCCCCTACAGCTCTGCTTTCTACTTCAGTGGAGCCCTTTGGAGGGCTTCCATCCCTCCCCTATCTCCTTTCAGAAATGACCTCACCCCTCTTCATCACCCCCCTCCCCACCAGGAGAATGAGGCCTGAGGGGTTGGGGGGATGTACCTGGGGGTATGGAAAACTTCATTCCTCTCAGTCTGTTTGCTGCCCCTGTCTTTTCTTCCTTCAGAAAAATGGAACAAGTTTTTCTCACTCGACACATTTCAACTTTTTTTTTAGAAGATACAATAAAAAACAGGGGAAAATTGGAACAGAGGGAGGTGTGGGATGGGCCCGCCTTAGACATGAGCTTGAAGGAGGTATAAAACACACGTGTCCACATACACATGAACAAGCATGAACAGACAGGGACACCGTGCACCTCTCTGTGCACCCAGAGAGGCAGAGATGCGGGGATAGAGAGACAGAAAGCGCCAGAAATGGAAGGAAGGAGATGGAAGAAGAAGGACACCCAGAGATGCCATCTGTTCCTCCCCCTGGCATTGGGGGAAGGGAGTTGGTGAGGGGCCTGGTCCCCTCTGGGTCTCTGAGAGGGAAAGGGGAAGGGTAGGCATCTCAGGCAAGCCTGGAAGATTCCCATTTCTGTTACCCACCCCCCTCCAGGGAGCCAGGAGCTGAGGGTCTGAGGTTCCCATGGAGACATAGCCCCATCCCAGGGGAGGCCACTGTCTGGGCACCTAAAATGGCTGCCTCAGAGGGGTGGCGGCCATTTTGTGCAGGCGTAGGTCCCGGGTTGGCGGGGGTGGGGCCTTGGGGGTGTAGAGGGGAGCGAGCCTGAGGGGATAGGTCATTCCTGAGCAGTCTAGGGAATCTTGCTCAGAGAACTGGAGAATGTTGTATAAAGCTGCTCTCATTACGCCCCCTGCTACACCAAAAAAAAAAAAAAAACCACACACACACACATAAATCTGTAAACCTCCATTCCATTCAGACACCCAGAAGGACCTAGCCAGACACTTGCCACCAACATCACCATGCTCCAAATAAGACTGGTGGGGGCAAGTGTGCTGGGGAAGGGGACTTGATTTCCCACCAAAGGGCCAAACCGTGGGGAGCAAGTGGGTTTGAGTCCAGGCGTCCATGCCCCTCAGCCATTTAACTCCATCTCCCGGGCGCTCCCAGGCTGAGGTGGTCTGGCAGGTGAAGAGTGAGGGCAGGAGCAGGACAAGGAGGGCACGGTCTCCCCGTCTCCCCCCCGCCCCGCCCCGGCTCTGATTTGAGGTGAAGGGCAGGAATGTGGGGGTCCTCGGAGGGCCCGTGGTTCTGGCACAGTGTGCTGTGGCGAGGGAGGGAGGGGAGGGGGCCGGCTGGCACTGCCCACACGGTGACTCTGCCATCGGCTGGAGGCGTGAAGGGCCCTCCCGAAGCCCCGGAGAGCCTGCCGCCCTCCCCCCGCCCCCGTGCACCCCCAGTCTGACGGGACGTGGAGGGCGGGGACCTGCCGCGTCTTCCCGGCTCTGGGGGGGCACCTGCCCCCTCCCCCCGCCCGCCGCAGTGTGCTGGGGAGCGGCGGGCACGCCAGATGGCGTGGCTGAGAATGCGGCGACGTTGCCGGGAGGTGAGGGCTGGCACGGGCGATGTGCGGCTGCGTGCCTCGTGGTGCCACCGGGGAGGGCGGGGGCGGACCGGTGAGGTGTAGCCCCCCATGCTCCGTGCTGACCTGTCCTGACCGCCAGCTCACCGCCAGCGTTTGCACTGACATCCTTTGCCTACTGCCCTGGGCTCCCGCGCCGGGCCCAGGCCCCACCCAAAGATAAGTGGGCACCTGCCCACAGCACCAGGCCTGATCTGAAAGTTCTGAGTCGGACCCCTGCTGCACACCTTCCTAATCTGGGACAGAGGGCCATGAGGAGACCCACTGACCCTCCTGCAAAGCCAGCCCCCCGCAGGATTGTTGCCTGGCTCCAAAAGTACAGTGACCTGTGCCCCATAACCTTTGCCTTCTGGCATCTGGGCCCTGTTTTGTTTTGAAAAGAGCTCCTTCCCTAATGGGCTGTAGTCTCTGAGTCTCTTTTTTCTTCAAATTCATTCTCATTCCTCACCAAGAGCGGTCCTACTTGGACACCTCCTCCTGGGTGTCTTCCCTGATCTCCTCCTGGCAATTTCAGTACTTACCACCCACTGTTAGGACAAACCGTTAGCTCATGTCTCCCTGACTTGACTGTGGTGGCTATTTGCCTTATATCTCAGTAGTCTGGGGCTTCACACAGGTTGCACAGAGTTGATGTTCAATAAATGCTCCTTGTATTAATGCCTAGCTGACTTAGAGGGTTTGGGGTACTGGAGCCTATCTCCAGAGAATCTCCTAAAACAGTAAGTTCTAAGGTCACAGGTCAAGCCCAGAGCCCTCAGACTCCTCCTGCTGCCTTCTGCACAAATTTCAGTCTGGGGAGGAGGACTTGGGATGGGGTGGTGGGTCACAGGTTTTCCTTCGAGTGGCTCTCAGAGAGGGGGCTCTGTGCATGGAGGCTGAGTCTGAGGGTGCTGGGCCCCCATTCCCTGGGCACGAAGCTCAGACTCAGGGCACATGAGGTCCCTCACTGCCTCCCCCTCCTGGGGGGTTCCTGCCCAGCTGCAGACCCCCTTCTTGGGTTTCATATCTCTCAGCAGGTTCAGTGCCCCTCTCCTACCCCTTGTCCTACCCCACACCTTCCTTGCAAGGGGTAAATGCAACTTGCCACAGGGATGGGAGATGAGGTCCAGGGACGCCGCTGAGTTGTCCCACTCCCACTGCCATTTCTTCTTTGCTGATGCTGCTCCCCAAAGCCACCCCCAATACCTCAACCCTCATTTGTGGGTCTGGTTCAGCCTCTCCTCCCTGGAAAGTTCTGACTTCCCGCAGGCCCTTGCTCCTCTGGCTTCCTCAGAAGGACTGGGAGTGTTCATCGTGCCCATTCCATGGAAAAGTCAGATCTGAATGTAGTATCACCCTCATCGGGCACCTTCAGTGGCTCCCCATCACCCCTAGGGTCAGGCCTTGCTCCTTACGGACAACTGGATCTGGTTGCTGTGCAGTTCTCTCTGTGTGTTTGTCCCTGTCTTGAAATCTGTCCCTCAGCCACTCTAAGCTCCTCCAGCTTTCACCAGCATCCTGCCTGTGAGCTTGCTCAGGCTGTCCCCTCTGCATGGAGCACCCTCCACTTTCTTCATCTTTTAAACCTAAGCACCACCTCCTCCAGGAAGCCTCTCTGGGTTAGATGCCCTCCTCTGACTCCCCTAATGCCTTCTGCACACCCCTAGGGGAGGCACGGGCTTCCCTGGTGGCTCAGCGGTAAAGAATGTGCCTGCCAATGCAGGGGACACAGGTTCGATCCCTGGGTCAGGAAGATCCACTGGAGAAGGAAATGGCAACCCACTCCAGTATTCTTGCCTGGAGAATCCCATGGACAGAGGAGCCTGGTGGGCTACAGTCCTTGGGATGGTAAAGAGTCAGACACAACTTAGCAACTAAATGATGATGACAGGGAGGCGCAGGCCATGACCTTTGCCGCACAGGTCTCTCTCACCTGGTAGGCAGTAACTAGGTAGGGGTCTGACACCCACGATATCCTCAATAAGTGGCTCAAAGGCCTGTCCCCTCGTTGTCCAGAAACTGAATGCTGGAGCCAGGGCAGGACACCAGCCCATGGGCAGCTCCCCTTCCTTTCCCCTCAGTCTCCCCCCAACCTCAGCACTGACATAGAACATCAGCCTTCCCCTCTGTAAAATGGGCATGATCATTACAATAAGATGCCTGTGGAGCATCAAATGAACAAACAGGTGTGGAAGCGCTGCCTCCAGGTATGGCTGCTCTGGCCTCAAGCCCCCGAGCAACTGTATTTAAAAAAAAAAAAACAACTTTGTTCCTGAAGTTCTGTTCATCACCACATCTTTGTTCTGCTTTTCTTGTCACTTTTCCAAGTGAGCAGTTGGGATGTCCTGCCCCTGCCCCTGCCCCTCCATGGGTCCGGCCCGCAGAGGAAGGCAGTCAGACGAAGAGGGAGCTCAAGGTAGTCCAAAGACCACCAGACTTAGCAGGGTCTCAACCTTGATCAAATCATGTAACCCTCTTCTTCCGCATCTGTAAAATGGGAATAGTGCCACGTGTCCACCTGCTGTCTCTCTCAGCGCTGATGGGAGGACAAAACGACAGTGCTCCGGGTGGTTAAGTCCTGATTGACGGCGGATTGTGGGCACCCAGCGGGGCAGTGCAGGGCAGTGGGAAAAGCACAGGACAGCGTGTGTCCCAGGCTCTCTTTCCTCTGGGCGGGCTCTGCTTTGAACTTGCCCATGACTTGGGCATGCCCTGATGTCCTCCCCTGGAAATCAGAACTTGGCAGCTGGGTTGGGGACTCCTGGGAGCCTGGCACTGGAAAGTTCTCAGATGCCTGAGCCCAGCATTGGAGCATGGTGGCACCTGAGGCTGGCAGTGGGCACAGATGACCCGCAACTGCAGTGGTGCTGGTGCTCACAGGAGGGCAGCGTCAAAAAGCCATGCATGGAGGGTGCACGTAGAGGGCAGAGCCAGCAGGGCAGGAGATCATAATTTAACCTCCTGGTTTAGCCCCTGGGAAACTGGAGCCCAGGACAGTGTGCATGAGACTTAGCTGTTACTTCCTTAGTTCAGTACCCTGAGCGGTCAGGGGGCATGGGGAAAGAAGGGAACAGTTGAGGGGTAGGAGCCTCGAGGCCCAATGCCCCACCTTACAGATTTAAAAAACCCCTCATCACAGAAAGGGGATGCAACCTGCCCAGTGTCACACGAGTGGTGACAGAGCTGGGACGAGAAATGAGGACCTGATTACCTCTTGCAGGTCCTCCTGTCCCTCGGGCTTTAGAGCTCTCTGTAATAACGAAATATTTTATAATCCATAATAATGAAATGACAGCGGTAGTGTTATCGGCGCTGGGCCCTGGCTTCACTCACACACAATCTTACTTCATTCTCACCATGACCTCAGATGTGGGATGACTGTTAACTCCACTTAAAGACAAGATGCTGAAGCCCAGAGGGGTTGAGGTTAAGGCTGCTGAACCCAGCTCTGTCTGACTGAATCCAGCCGCTTACTCACTTTTACATATGGTGTTCCTTTCTCTGAAACCCAGGTTATCTCTACACTGTGGGACCAGTGGGCTTTCCAGGTGGCACTAGTGGTAAAGAACCCACCTGCCAATGCAGGAGACATG